GTCTTGGAACAGTTCTCCTCCCCTGTGCCTTGAGGACACTGAGATCAACATCGGTGTTGATTGGGTCGAGCCAAGCTATAGCCATGAAACACAGCTTCTGTGACCATGTTTTTGAAGTCAGCTGCTGACCCCTTTTATTGTCTTTTCCTCTGGGAGTGACAATTCAATCAAAGGATTCACTGGTCTCCACGTCCACCAGATTCACAAAGCTCCTCATGGCAGCACTACTGAGACAAGCCAAAAGTCCATGAAATCCTTTCCTGAAGGATTCATGATGGATTTAAGTACTAAGACAGTGTTTGCAAGCGTGTAGCATCAATACAGGGAGAGAGCTGCATGCTGACAGCCATTAGTACTGACAGTTTTTATAAAATTATACAAGAAAAGATATTTACAGAAAGTGAATTATGGCTGTCCAACTTTATCTCAAATGCACAGCAAACAGCAGATCTGTATGTCCCCAGACAGCCTTGACATTTAGACGTCCTTGTAAGTATGATGCACAAACTAAGAATGTGATTATCCTAGAGGTTTGACTCTTTACTGCAGATAAAGTGTTTGCTTGAACTGCACACGATTGGAGAATTGCCATTTTGCTGGGTTTTCTTTAGCCATTCCTGAAGGCAGGCTGTTTTTCCCGGCTCCCTGAATAACTGTCGTCAGCTGTCCAGTCCCGAGAGGCCTGCGGCTGAGCGGATAAACCGGTGCCTCCTTCTAGTCTCTAGGTATTGCAATCCAAGGCCACCTTCCCTTCCCTCTTCCCCACAGGCCCTGAAGATGCAGTGATTACATCTCCCTGACCGAGCCAGAGCAGGGAGGAGAGAGGCCATCAGTGGCACCAACATTTTTATATTTCTAGACGACAAAAGTGTAATGTATTACCTTTCATTGTTCTTAAGATAAAGAATTCCTCTATAACAAACACACACCATGATTTTTGCACTTTTATTTTAATTCACCATTGCTTCATTCAGTGCATATTATCCTATATAAAATATCTTTTTTTTCACAGGTTATTACAGCTCTTGCTATCATTTAAAAAGGCAGATCCTGCCTTCTGTTTGCAGGGCAAAGCTGATCTAATTCCCCTTTCCATCAATACATAATCCATGATAATGAGCTGTGCTAAATTCCTTAGATGAATATGCAAGGGCTTCTTTCTGCAGGCACTGTAAATAAAATGGAGCCAACATTAATCGAAGTGATAATTAATTGCCTTCTGGAGATTATACGACTTGGCCCACAGGAACCATGTAGAGGTTATATTATATCTATTATATTTAAAACATGTTTCACAAACGGTGAACAAGATCATAGGTGACAGAGAAACCAATCAGAGATATATCAGAAATCTGCTGAAAACTGCCAATGTGGCTCCAGTATACTCAATTTTACATACAGTAAAAAAAAATGACATTAAGAAGATGTTAAAAAAAGAAAAGAAGAAAGAAGAAAAACTAATCCACAACCACTTTATCCACCAAAAATAATGTGGGTTTTTTGCTAATGTTTTAAGGTCCGTGTATCTTTTGGTCATTGGATTTTCCTTTCAGAAACGGGTATTAAAAAACAGAAAACGAGTGGTTATTTGATTTTCGTTTTAAAATACAAAAATTAAAATTGAAATACAAGGCGTTTTTCTTTTTCATGGTCAAAAAGGGATGAGCGAAATTTAAAAAATTATTCGATTTTCATTTTCTATTTCATATAACAAAAAATAAAATCACTAGAAAACAGAAACAGAAAAAAGGCCTGTTTTTTCATATTCTGAGACCGGATGTTGTCACTTACAGGACCGTGCTGTGTAGAAGAAACAGTAGACTAGTAGACTGCGGTCAATCCAGCCGTGAGTCCGATCTCCATGGTCAAATCAGCCGCACTTAAATTTCGAGTGTACAAGTATTCTCAGCATTATGGTAAATGCGGAGAAACAGCGTATTTACTTCTGGTTTTCAAAATAAAGGTATTTAGAGCCGTAAGCTATAATTAAAATATGTTACATTAAAGTGTTTCATGCGCCCCTGATGAATAAAAAAACACTTTATATCAAGTATCTTTACTGCACCAGTGTGGAGAAATGCCAAAATATTTATGCCTCCAGAGATTGCATATTTGACCATATTTGAGCTACTGTAAAAACATATTGCTCAGTGTTTCCTGGCTACTGATGGTATATTTGACTTTTACACATATGAGACTACAAACATACTTAATATCAAGCATTTTTACTGTACCAATTTGGAGAAATTCAACAATAAAAGTCCATATTTGTACCTCCAAGTGGTATTTTCATATATTTGAGCTACTGTAAAAACACTTTGCTCAATAATTCCTGGCTATGGATGATATATTTGACTTCTACACATCTAAGACTACAAGCATGCTTAATATCAAGCATTTTTACTGTACCAATGTGGAGAAATTGAAGAATAAATGTCCTATATTTATACTTCCAGATTCCATATTTTCTTATATTTGAGCTACTGTAAAAATGTAAACTGTAAACTTTTTTCCGTTTCTGTTTTCTAGTGATTTTATTTTTTGTTATATGAAATAGAAAATGAAAATCGAATAATTTTTAAATTTCGCTCATCCCTTTTTGACCATGAAAAAGAAAAACGCCTTGTAGTTCAATTTGAATTTTTGTATTTTAAAACGAAAATCAAATAACCACTCGTTTTCTGTTTTTTAATACTCGTTTCTGAAAGGAAAATCCAATGACCAAAACATACACGGACCCTTTTAATCACCTCAAAAACATTTGATCTTACATTTTTTCAAACTTTGGAAAGCTCTCTCCAGAAATACAGAAGACATTATACTACTACTATATACTATATTTTCACAGGAGAGTACAACTCCTCATGATGAATAAACTCAACGTTTTAAAAGACCAGTGTGTAAGATTTAGCGGCATCTAGAGGTGAAGTTGCAGATTTCAACCAACTGAACACTGGTCATGTCTGTATTTGAAAACCTGGGAAAGAGAACAGGTTGTGAAGTGTGTAGGAGAACCTACAGAGGCCACATAACTTGCAAAAGCGCTGGACTCGCTCCCTCTCTAGATAAAAACGGTTCATTCTAAGGTAACAATTCATAAATTATACACAAATGTTACTCCTAAATGTTACACACTGCACCTTTAAAAGCTTTGCTCTTCTAAACACTCCTAGACAGCATTTCATTGGAAAAGAATCTGGCACACAAGAGGGGGAGTGTTTGCAATAACTAGAGAAAAACACTAGGCATTCAATAACAAAAGCACAAGATATTAAAGGTGGACTGATATATTGAGCAAAACAGCAACTGACTTTATCAACAAAGCATCGAAGGGAAAAGATCCAACAGTACTTGGCACAATATCCACATTTGCTTTTGTGTCTTGAGGAAAGACTTTCCATCCTTCCATCTCTTTTCTATACCTCCTGACTCCACAGTGTCACACCCTCACAGGGTTATGTTGTATTATCTCAGCATGCATCAACAACATTCAACAAGCCACCACTCTATTGTATTCAATCAGAGGGCATACAAGCAGCTATGGACATATTAACAGCTGGTGACCGTAATTATGTTGTTTTTCCATAAGCAGTGAGGCCTCCATCATTTCCTGCAACAAATATTACCTACCTCAAGTAGCCTACTTGATATATGACCTCTTGCACACTAGGGCATTAATAATTATCGTGCACTGTGGTCAATTTAAGCGCAGATGCCACTGCCAAAACTATAAAGCCCTAATTATACCCAATAACTCACACTGATGACAAACCTAGAGTGAATGTTAATAATTTGATTTTGTTGCCTTTTTTTGGCTGTGATAGACTGTGTGGCAGTGACAGTCTCATTATGATTTAAAAAGGCTAATTCAGCTCATAATAACATGAAATTGCTGCTCTGTTTATCCATTAAAGGAAATCTATGTCCCAGAAGTGAGTAAATAATACCCAAGAGCATGCATGCCACAACCTACTCTGATGTGAAGGACGAATGAAGGTTTACATGGCTGCAGTCGGATATGTCAAGTGGATTCTTCGCAGCATAATACAGGCATAATACAGCACTTCTACTTGTTCACCCAATTTTCAACAAGACTGGCAAGACTTCTGTTTTAGTCTCAAATGATTCGTTGTTTATGTGCTGTCCTGTCCAAACAGGACAGCACACATGCCTACACATATCCACATCTCTTGTGTGATATGTGTAAGTACAACAAATCTCTTGAAAACGCAGTACAAAACACCACAGCAACGTGCTAACATTGTAACAAGTGATTGGCCTGTCACAGTTTCATCTGCTCAACTTTAAAATAAGATCCCAATTGCTGAATCAAGTGTTAAAGTTCAAGCCCAGCAGTCAGCCTGGCATTATATCACAATCTGGACAGATTTTTCATCATAGTTTGACATTATAGAAACACATACAATTGAATGTGCATGGTAAGAGGCACAGCCCATTTTGTTGCACTGAAAAACATAGAGTTTATAGAAATCTATAGACAACATAAATGAAAATACTTGCATCTCATTGGACTTGGTGACCATGCTGGCCATTTATTAAAATATAAAAATACAACTACTAAAATGTCTATAGAAACTTCTCAAATCATTCCTGCAGCACAATCTTGCTGTTCACCTGGATAAAAAGTGTCTTTCAAACACTCTCAGTTTTGCCAAAGTATACTTAAACACACTGCTTCGTTTGTAGCCTGCTTCCAACACAGCTACAAACAAGATGTGAGTGAGCGCCATGTCTTCAAAATGACCACAGCTGCTGGTCTCTGTGACAGAAGAAACCACATACTTCTAACACCTTTCAAGCCTGCAGGCAGGAAGTGTTTGATACTAAAAAAAATACCTTTTTGGTGGAACATCACTAAATGCATGTTAACACGAGCCCTTATATTATAAAGGTGACACTCAGTGACAAATGAGGTGCTGTTGCAGAATTCCATATGTCAGTTTTACATTAGTGAGTAATGGATGGAATGGGTGACTTACAAGTTTTGTCAGTTTCATCTGAGTCGTCGGGGCAGTCCGGCTCGCCATCGCAGAGCCAGGCCTCGGGGATGCAGGTTTCCTCGTCATGACAGTGAAACTCCCCTACGTCACACAAGATGGCTTCTGGATGGCATGAAGAAGGGGTGGAAAAAGGAGACAGAAAAGATGCAGCATGAGGTGATGATAGTGGACAGGTGGATTGTGTGTTTTAGCAGGAAATGTGTATTGGATATACACTTGAACATGAGCGTTAATGGAGAGGAAGTGGCTTCACCTTGACTTTTTTGTAGAACCGCATGTTAATGGATCTGGTGAAGAGGCACTGACATAAGCAAAATTATTATTATTATTATTATTACTATTATTATTATTATTATTATATCATCATCAGTGGTAGCATTAAACTCATTGAAACAGATAAAGCCAAGAGTTTTAAAGAGGCTACAGCATCATGCTGTATGTACATTTTGAAGGACGACTGGAATCCATACTGTACTGAACAGTATGTCCTTTTGTCAGTGGCATATATTTTGCAAACCACAAGTCTTTGTCAGAACAGGAGGCCATCTTTTTTTGTTTTTACACAAGATTAAAATGCTACCAAAAGAGACAGACTGCACAGATGCTGCCCAGCATTGTGATTTTGACAGCTACTCTCCTCTAACAAAGACATGATGTCCTTCGCGCCTTGGCAAACTATTACAAAACTGTTTGGCAAGTTTGTTCTTATCTTTTTGCCTCCTTGGTGTTGTGCTTTCATTTGATGGTGGGACTGGGGGAGTTCAGTGAAAGCCCAGTCAACTAAAAAGTCATCATAGCCTTTCAGTATAGCAAGCATCTGTCAAAGTGTTGACATGTTTCCTGCCGGTAGCTGTCAGAGACTCAGCTCGATCATTCTGCAGAATGACACAAGCTTTTTCTAAAGATTCAACACCACAATGTGACCTGCCGCTACTTCTCCTCAATGGCGAGCAAAAACGATAATTTGTTTCCAAGCTTAACCCGAAGACAATCAGACAGGCTCTAACTCCCCCTCCCACTCTCTCTTTCTATCTCCATCTTTTTCCCAGTGTGTTCCTAACCCATTAGTGGTGGGAGTGGAGCAAGTGGGAGATCAGGTCTGCAGCGTTTGAACAGTGAGAGTGATAATTCAACGCACCGCTGCTCCCTGCCCTGGCACCCTCCAGCAAATTCACTACCCAGGGACAAATCTGAAAAGGTCAAACATCTCATCCATTCTGCCTCTCCTATTCCCAATGATGCAATATATCTGAAATCTTACAATTTAAATCAAGGTCTCTTTTGAAATATTCAAAGCCTTCTTTTTCTGGTTTTAAAGGGGGACATTCTTAAAATTGCACACCAAAGCCAACAAACCTTTAAAGAAACAAAATTAAAATGCATCTCTTGCTGAGTAGAACAAGGGGTACAATCAGGGAGACCTATTGCATGAGGAGCAGGTTCATGATCATTAATTTGCCTCTAAACAAGGGAAAAGCACTAAAATAAAAATGTAACTTGCCAATTATTTCCCAAACCACTGTTAACCTCATAATACCACAGAATAATTTTGTGAAAGCATACTTTGCTACAGTCAAATATGCTTTTTTTAACCAGGAACTTCAGCTAAACTGTCAACATTGATGCACACTGATTATCATTGCAGTAAATATTAATACCACACCAGCAGTTAATAACATGATGTACTGTGCATGATTTGACTGAATAAACAATTAGGGTCACACAGTATTGTGACATTAATTACTACCCAAAAGTAATTATTTCACATTTAACAAGTAGCCCAGTCTGAACACTGGCACTTTATAAACACATAACATCTGTAGCACACAATAAATTAGCTGTATATGACCTGAATATGTTGACTACATTATTTACATTTTCTCTCAAAAAATATCAAGACATCAATAAACACACACTGGGCTTGCGGTTGGCACAGGCATGCTCAGTTTGCTTAAATTAAATCTCCTTTGCCTTAAAAGCTGAATTGATCGTCACTGAAAAGCAGAGGGTTGGTGACATAAGGGCCATGTCCACAGCTAGCGATGGAAGCCATGAAAGAAACTGCCCCTGAACCTTGGAGCAGCCCGGTTACCTATTGATGTTCTATCTCCTTTCATGCTACTTCACCTTGAAAGCTAAAGGGCCAAATATGAGGCAACCAAATGACCTCTTATGTCAATTCATCTTCCCTCTTTGCTTCTCCAAACAGCCTCATCTTAACTTCAGTGCACTTTCGCGGCATCTGTGGCAGACAATAATGGGACAAACACACAAGTGAGGGAAACAAAGTTTGTTGTTCTTTTATTCCTCTTCCATATACTGCTGTATTTGCATGAGATACATCAAGGTGCCATATTACACAGCATTATGTATTTTGCAGATAATTCTTTACAAACATCAAATGAGTGGCAATGGCCAGAATAGCAAATAGAAAGAAAAAAAAAAGCAGCAGCCGCTTTCAATGAGTAGAGAAAAACAAAAACAAAAAAACTGGTTCCATTACCATAACAGTAGGGAACACACAGTGGCGCTCAGCTGGGCATATTATCATGAGCTTCATTCCTGACACCTAACAGCCACCACTGGCACAACATTTTGGCTCATTAAAGCCATTGAGCCTTTGAAATGTGCCATATTTTCAGAGGAACAAAGAGTTATTTGGAGGCAAGCAGACCTGCTGAAGGAGGACCAGCCAGCACTCCTTGCAGCATATATTTTGATCAATTTTTTTTACTAAACACGTCCGGTATTCTGCAACATGAGCACAACAAATATTTTTTTTATCCTGCACAATATAGCATCCACTCCTATTTGCTTAGTCCTAATAAACTCTGAATTACATTAGAGCTTAGGTCTTCATTTATCTTTCTAAACAATATTATATTCCAATGAGGTAAGCTACAAACCACTAAGGCATTACAATCCCCTGAATTGCATCAGACACACAGTTCACAATATGGTTCAGTGGATAAGTCGTAAGCTACAGGCCTATTCAAACAAAGCCTGTGTTATAAAAGCAGCAGTGCAGTACACAGCTCAGAGTGGTGAATTAAACGTCATCTATGTCGTACAGCTGAAAAAAGCAAATCTGAGAATATTCCTCACTCAGGCCTATCTTACAGTTGCAGGTTGAGAACGAGCTGCTTCTTGAAGAAGCTATTTGCAGCTCATCCAACTTGCCGACTCTACATAGAAGGCTATGTGTGCACTTGTCAGGGCAGTGATAGTCCATTAGACCTATGTTGAATTCAGGATCCTCAAGGTCAACCAGCAACCAATGTGGGAGGAAAGAGAAAATAGTGGTTGAATATATCTGGAAACCAAATGAAATTATGCAAGCATAAAAAACATATACACAGACACAAAGATAATTGTGAAAATTACCTAATTACCTAAAAAAAAAAAAAAGCTCTTAACTAAAAACTGCAGCTGGTGGTATAAATTGTAATGTGTTTCAGCTGTGACGATTTAGTTATTTTTTTGTTGTCATTTTTGGCTTTATGTTATAGTTGCCAGCATAGTGACAGACAGGAAAAAACAATCCCCAGTCGAAATTGAACCAAGGACATTGCGGTTATGTGGTATGCATTAAGGTAACATGTTTTCACTATAAGTGAAACAAATAGGAAATGCCTTGGTTTTGGAGGCAGAATAAAAGAGTAAGAGCTCCACTACAGAGTTGTCATTTTGCACCATCCAGCATAGCAAAATTTAAATGAATAGACATGCTGTCTTGGTGAGAGCTGAATGAGAAGACTGATCACAGTCATGTCTATACAGTAAATATGAAGGTACAAGCAGGTTAGCTTAGCTTATCACAAAGACTGCTCTGACTGATGGTAAAAAAAAAAATCCACCTTCCAAAAGCTCACTATAAAATGATATATCTATTTTTCTTAATCCAGACCAAAAAATAAATGCAGTAAAAACACGAAGTTACATGGCGTGAAGCATATTGCAAACAAATACCAATCAGCGAATATAGGCCCAGCTTCAGTGCTCTGCACAAACTAATGCTTTGCTTCAGATCTGCCTACCAGCACATAACCTCCTGGAGTTTTGATGTTGCAGTGAAATTGTCAGGGGAGGCTCCAAGAAGTTAATGCATCACTAACAACTACTAAATGTGATCTCCTGATGGGTGGATTTTGTTACCTTCATATAGAGCCAGGCTTGTTGTTACCAGTCGTTGTGTTAACTGAATGCTGGCTGTAGCTTTATATTTACCATACATAAGAAAGTGATGTTAATTGTCTTATCTAATTCTCAGCAAGACAGTGAATAAACATATTTCTCAAAAAGAGAAAAACTATTCCTTTAAAAACAGAAATCTTATTGACTAGCCTATAGCCTCAGCAGATCACAATGCAATTCTCATTGTCTTTTTTTTATATATATATTTCGGGAAAAACAAAATAAGCACTGATGTCAGACTGATGATATATAACAGTCTGAGTATATGAGGGTGGAATATTTTGCTCAAAGATACATGGATTGTATAACATAAATCAAACGTACAGGTTAAAATACATCACATATAAATGTTTCACAAGTTATTGAGGACAAGAGTGCTAGGGCACAAAAATGAAATGCACTTGAAGAGTTTCTGTCTGAAAGTGCATACACACAAACACATACATACACACGAGAAACCCACCTCCATCCACACACATGCACATAGATTAGTGATTTTAAACCCCTCATACTGTCAGAGCAGACTTAGCGTCCTGGCCAGCTGCAGGTCATATGCATTATGGATGAGCATAGGGCTATAAGCCAAACTAAGCAGGTTATTAAGTATAACAACAGTATAATGCAGTCTCCCCCTTAATCTTCATATCTTTAATCTGCCAAAAGATGCAATGTAGTGTGATGCATCTCAATGATGCCTCACACCTGCATAATGAATCTTTATTACAAGCGTATCTCTAGAAGTGACATATGCCATGTGGTATTTAGACTTAAATGCCATCCACGTCAAGTCTGATCAGAATATGAAGAGAGTACCGTGACGCTGCTCACTGATGAATGATTTCAGAATGTCACAGCACTTCTGGACGCATGCCCATAGTTATATGGGCACGACAGTTCTGCAGCACTCA